ATGATGTTTTCCGAATTCCTCCATCTTGTTGCAAATGACTGGGTTTCGTTGTTTTTGACTGCTGTATAGTATTCTATAGAGTACATGTCCCATAATTTCTTTATCCAGTCTACTGTTTATGGGCATTTGGGTTGGTTCCAGGTCTTAGCTATTGTGAATTGAGCTGCAATAAACATTAGGGTGCAGACCTCTTTTTTGTTTGCCAATTTAATTTCCTTTGGGTAAATTCCAAGGAGTGGGATGGCTGGGTTGAATGGTAGGGTTATATTCAGGTTTCTGAGGAATCTCCAAACTGACTTCCATAGTGGCTTAACCAATTTGCATTCCCACCAGCAGTGGGTTAGTGCCCCTTTTTCCCCACATCCTCGCCAGCATCTATTGTTGGTAGATTTCTGAATGTGAGCCATTCTAACTGGGGTGAGGTGAAACCTCATTGTGGTTTTGATTTGCATTTCCCTGATTGCTAGTGATCTTGAACATTTTTTCATGTGTCTGTTGGCCATTTGGATTTCCTCTTCTGTAAAATGTCTATTGAGGCCCTTGGCCCATCTCTTAAGTGGGTTGTTTGTTTTGATGTTGTGGAGTTTCTTAATTTCTTTGTAGATTCTGGTGATCAACCCTTTATCTGTTGCATAGTTTGCAAATATATTTTCCCACTCTGTTGGTTGTCTCTTCACTCTCCTGACTGTATCTTCTGAAGTACAGAAACTTCTCAATTTAATGCAATCCCAAATGTTAATTTTGGCTTTGACTGCCTGTGCTTCTGGGGTGTTTTCCAAGAAGTCATTGCCGGTACCTATATCTTGCAGGGTTTTTCCAATGCTCTCTAATAATTTGATGGTGTCAGGGTGTAGATTTAAGTCTTTAACCCATGTTGAGTGAATTTTTGTGTAAGGTGAAAGGTAGGGGCCTTGCTTCATGATTCTGCACGTGGAAATCCAATTTTCCCAGCACCATTTATTGAATAGACTGTTCTTACTCCAGGGATTGGTTTTGGATCCTTGATCAAATATGAGTTGGCTGTAGATGTTTGGATTGATTTCTGGTGTTTCAGTTCTGTTCCATTGGTCTATCCATCTGTTTCTGTACCAGTACCATGCTGTTTTGATTACAACTGCCCTGTAGTATGTCCTGAAATCTGGTGTTGTGATGCCTCCGGCTTTGTTTTTGTTGTACAAGATTGCTTTAGCTATTCGAGGTCTCCTGTGTCTCCATATAAATTTCAGCATCATTTTTTCCACATCTGAGAAGAAGGTCTTCAGTATCTTGATTGATATTGCATTGAATGTATAAATTGCTTTTGGGAGAATGGACATTTTGATGATATTGATTCTTCCAATCCATGAGCATGGAAGATTTTTCCATTTCTTGGTATCCTCTTCTACTTTCATTTAATGAATAAAAATTTCCAAAGTACAACTTTTGGATTATAGTGGCTCCCCCCCCCCCATAACCTTCCTTCCACCTGCAACCGTCCCATCTCCCATTCTCTCTCCCATCCTATTCACATCAAGATTCATTTTCAATTATCTTTATATCCAGAAGATCAATTTAGTATATACTAAGTAAAAATTTCAACAGTTTGAACCCACACAGAAACACAAAATATAAAGTACTGTTTGAGTACTAGTTATATCGATAATTCACATAGTACAACACATTAAGGACAGAGATCCTACATGGGGAGTAAGTGCATAGTGACTCCTGTTGTTGATTTAACAATTGACACTCTTATTTATGATGTCAGTAATAACCAGAGGCTCTTGTTATGAGCTACCAAGGCTATGAGTTTGCCAACTCCAATCTTATTTAGACAAGGCCATAGTCAAAGTGGAAGTTCTCTCCTCCTTTCAGAGAAAGGTACCTCCATTTTTGATGGCCTGTTCTTTCTGCTGGGATCTCACTCACAGATATCTTTTCATTTAGGTCATTTTTTTTTTTTTTGCCACAGTGTCTTGTCTTTCCATGCCTGAAATACTCTCATGGGCTTTTTAGTCAGATCCAAATGCCTTAAGGGCTGATTCTGAGGCCAGTGTGCTGTTTAGGACATCTGCCACTCTATGAGTCTGCTGTGTATCCTGCTTCCCACGTTGGGTCGTTCTCTTTAATTTTATCAGTTAGTATTAGCAGACACTAGTCTTGTTTATGTGATCCTTTTGACACTTAATCCTACCATTATGATCAATTATGAACTTAAACTGATCACTTTGGCTAGTGAGATGGCATTGGTACATGCTACCTTGATGGGATTGAATTGGAATCCCCTGGTATGTTTCTAACTCTACCATTAGGAGTAAGTCTGATTGAGCATGTGCCAAACTGTACATCTTCTCCCTCTCTTATTCCCACTCTTACATTTAATGGGGATCACTTTTCAGTAAAATTTAAATGACTAAGAATAAATGTGTGTTAATTAAAGAGTTCAACCAATGGTATTAAGTAGAACAAAAAAATACCAAAAGGAATAAAGTAGTGAGTTGTTCCTCAACAGTCAGGACAAGGGCCAATGAAGTCATTGTTTCTCATAGTGTACATTTCACTTCAACAGGTTTCCTTTTAGGTGCTCAGTTAGTTGTCACCGATCAGGGAGAACATATGATTTTTGTCCCTTTGGGACTGGCCTATTTCACATAGCATTTTGCTGCAATGACCGGCCTTCTTTTTTTTTTGCTGCTGTAAAGTATTCCATAGAGTACACACCCCATAATTTCTTTATCCAGTCGTCTGTTGATAGGCATTTAGGTTGACTCCATGCCTTAGCTATTGTGAATTGAACTGCAACAAACATTAAGGTGCAACCTGAATATAGCCCTGCCATACAACCCAGCCATCCCACTCCTTGGAATTTACCCAAAGGAAATTAAATAGGCAAATGCAAGAGCTGTCTAGACTACTTTTAATGCCTAACTCAATGTAAATGCTGTGTAAATCGTTGTTACATTGTGTTGTTTAGGGAATAATGACAATAAGTTTAGAAGAGATACAATTTTTTTTCAAATGTTTGTTATTCCTGACTGGCTGAATCTGTGGAAACTGTGGATATGGAGAGCCGACTGTATTTGCTTTGCAAGAAAAATCCTGAAGCTTGTAGAAATTTCAAAACCAGGATACCAAGAAATGGGAGGGTGTTACTTAGCAATCTGGGTGACTTAACTCATAGTAATTGGCATATGTATAGTTGTGATTTGCATTGCAGGCATTTAAACTGAGATATTCGGGTGATCATTGAAGGCATAAAAAAGAGTGTTAATTGTTAAAGGAACAACAGTAGTCAATGTGCACTTGCTCCCCAGGTAGGACCTCTGTCCCTACTGAATTGCAATATGAGAATCAACTGCAAATCTCTCCCCAAACTGTACTTTATATATTGTGTGTGGGCGTGGGGGCAAATTGTTGAACTCTATGATTAGCATAGAGATGGTCCTCTATGAATAAAGTCATACTAAAAATGATACATAATGAAGAAGGAGATGGGAGAGGGAATGGGAGGTGGGAAGGGAGCAGGGTAGGGGGCATGAAGGAAGGAACCACTGTATTCCTAAAGTTGTATCTATGTAAAAATGCATTCATTAAATAAAAAAATATGTTCAGACTTTTAAGAGGTAAAAAAGCAAAAGCATAGAAAAAATAATGCTTTTTTATCACCTGGAATGAACATCAGAGAATATTGTATTTAGACCACTTGACAAAGTCGTAAGACATTTTTTAATTGGGAATCACTGAATTTCTTTCTATTTGTTGTCTCTTCTTCTTCCCTACATAATAGGAAGTAAAGGCAATTTGTTGGGCCGGCAGTGTGGCTTAGCAGGTAAAGCCACTCCCTGCAGTGCTGGCATCCCATATGGGAGCCGGTTCAAGTCTGCTCCACTTTCGATCCAGCTCTCTGCTATGGCCTGGGAAAGCAGTAGAAGGTGGTCCAAATCCTTGGGCCCCTGCACCTATGTGGGAGACCCAGAAGAAGCTCCTGGTTCTTGGCTTCAGATCAGCACAGCTCCAGTCGTTGCAGCCATCTGAAGAGTGAACCAACAGATGGAAGATCTCTCTCTCTCTGCCTCTGTCTCTTTGTAACTCTGCCTTTCAAATAAATAAGTAAATAAATAAATCTTTAAAACAAGGCAATTTGTTTTATATAATTACTGCTTAAGTTCAACCTTTAAGATGGTCTTTATTTTTTTTGAAAGATTAATTTATTGGAAACATTGAGTTAGAGAAAGAGGACACACACACACACACACACACAGACAGAATGGGGGGAGAGATGACAGAGGACAGAGATCATTCATCTGCTGTTTCTCTTCTCATATGGCTGAAACAGTCAGGTTGGGGTGAGGCCAATGACAGGAGCCAGGAACTCCATCCTTTACTCTTACATGTGTGGTAGGTGTGCAACTACTTAGACTACTGGGTTACATACTGCTTTCTTCCCATACACATTAACAGGAACCTGGGTCAGAAGTTGATCAGCCTGCAATGGAACTCACGGGATGATATGGGACTCTGTTTTCCCAACAGTGGCCTTAACCTATTCTGCCATAACCCCTGCCACTAAGGATAGTATTTTTTTTCAAGCAGTCTCAAGTATTTTTTTTTCAAGCAGTCTCATTTAATCAGAAAGTCAACTGAGACTCTGAGAGTTGTAAATATTTTGTGATGTGTTCAGAGTTAACAGAATAAGAATTAATCAGAAACATGACAAACTCCAAAATCCTTTTCCCTTAGAATGCATCATGCTGTCTCCTTTATAAAATTTGCACACTGTACCCACTATTTGTTTAAGAATGGTGGGGATATATATAGAGAGAATAGAGTTAATATTAATGAAGAAATGGGGCAGGGTGTGTCCTAGGAAGATGAGGCCCAGATCCAAATTAATTGCTGCAGGACCCAGGATCTATTATTTTGGGAATGATAGGGATTTCTTTAGTTCAGCATCTTCCTCCATTCCATTATATTCTTCCTGTTTCCCTAAAATTACTGAAAGATGAAAATGATGAGAATTTTCATTTGTGGTGGTGTAGAATCCAGGGAAGGGGAGAAACAAGAGAATTATTTCATTTGAGAGTTGATTTGATTCCATAAAGGAGAAACTAACTTTGCTGGAAACATCAGTGGGAAGGGGTCCTGAATGCTGTCCCATTGTGTTCATGTCCTGTAAGTGAGAGATTCACAGATAACCAAAATCAGAGACGAGGGCCATGAGAAATTGCATGCTGATTATTTTATTGGTACTTGAAACATAGGGTTGTCACATCATGGTTCCAGAGTCATGGATCTTAAAGGACATTATCTTCTTATTCACTTTCTGAAACAGAAACAAAGAAGGAAGTTTGTTGAGGGGACTTGAGAGGGGAAGAAGATGAGGATCCCTAACTAGCTTTACTGAAACGAGGTAGGTGAGGGTCTGCCTTCTCTCCCTTTCAAACTTAGGTCCATTCTGTTGACAGTAGTCTGCATTTACTCTTTCTGTGCACCTAACAGCTCAGGTGTTCTAAATTATCCTTTACAAGATGAAGAAAGAGATTTTTTTTACTGTTATCATTTGATTGGTATTGAAAAGTTTAGGAAATTTTACAAATATGGTCAGTGCCACATATTATATCATCTGAAAGAGAAAAAAACAAATAACATTGACATGATATTCCTTAAGGAAATTCTGGTATAGCATACAATGGGAAAATATGCTATGTTAAAAAAAGCCCAAACAAGAACAATCACATCAGAAAACTGACCAGATCTAGCTACATCTATGAACTGATATTTACATTGTGTAATAAATATATTATTTGACATGAGAAAGACACAAATTTGTATATTTGGTATAATACTACTTGTGAAGAAAGATCACTTTTTGTTTATGTGGAAATAAATATATTCATAAGGACATTTAAAAATGTTATTTTTTGTGTTCTTTGGCTTGTGATATGTGGAGGTAGAATGATATATGCTTTTAAGATATATGATTTAAGATTATGTTTTTATGCTGAATTTTTTAAACCTAGAATAGACATTAATCTAATAATAATAGTAGTATAAAAATATAGATAACTTTTAACAGCATTCAATGAGAAGATGTTATTTATCTGTAATAATGGACCTTACATTTCTCATACGGAACAAACAAGAACATAGTGTGCTCTAGTAGCCCTTTGAAGGGAAGTCATTGAGTCTGAGCCCAGGAGGCAGAAGACCAAAGGAAGAATTCTACTGCATTTCCACAGTAGGAACATCATCTCACAAAAATATTCACTGTGATAAAAGAAATTTTGCAGCAACCATTCTCAAATTCAGAATTACCTTGGAGATCTTATTAAATAACAGTATCTTACCACTCTATTTTAGAATATCTGAGTAGAAATCTTTTTTTTTTCATTTTCAATTATCTTTATATACAGAAGATCGATTTAGTATATATTAAGTAAATATTTCATCAGTTTGCACCCACATAGAACATAAAGTGTAAAATATTGTTTGAGTACTAGTTATAGCATTAATTCACATTGGACAACACATTAAGGACAGAGATCCCACATAAGGAGTAAGCACACAGTGACTCCTGTTGTTGACTTAACAATTTGACACTCTTGTTTATGGTGTCAGAAATCTCCCTAGGCTCTAATCATGAGTTTCCAAGGCTATGGAAGCCTCTTGAGTTCGCTGACTTTGATCTTATTTAGACAAGGTCATAGTCAAAGTGGAAGTTCTCTCCTCCCTTTAGAGAAAGGTATCTCCTTCTTTGATGGCCCGTTCTTTAGAATATCTGAGTAGAAATCTTATGAGTAGAGCCCAGATTAAATCATTTCAATATACTTCAAGTAGATTATGGCACACTTTAGAGAAGGAATAAACATTAGGGCTTGATGGAGAATGAACATGACTCTTGGGTGCCACTGACTTATATATTATAGGGGTGCTTATCTAGGGGAAGGCCTTATGATCTATTTCCTTGAAAAGATGATTGTGTTCCTCTTTGGCCCCCTCTTGGGGTGCTCCCTGTTGGGCTGCTCCCTGTGCCAACCTCACCCCGTGGGTTGCTACCTGTGGGCCTCTATTTTTGGATAATCCTTTTTGCCTCTTTTTAGGGTAAACACTTTTGATTCTTGATTGGAGCTGGCTCCCCTGTATAGTTCTTTTTGCTATCCAGAGATTCCTGGGCAATTCCCCTCCTGAACATCTCTTTCGCCTAACCTTGTTCATCTTCTGGAGGAGGAGGTCTAGTGCCCTTCTGTGGAGGTGGTGGTCGGTGGTGGTTTCCATGAGGAGGTGGGCGATGGTGGTTGTGGTGGCCTCCTGGACGTGGTGGTCTGTGGGGTGGACGATCTTCTTGGCTGTCATCATCATTCTGTGTTGCAGCTAGGCTCTCGTCTAGGTTCTCATACTCTGCATGGGTCATACAGGAATAGAAGAGTTTAGTGACTGAAGATTGCCTTTTATTGTCACCCCCTGAGCTGTTCACACGTCACTTACTCTGCCAACTTGCACCCTCCTGCCACATTCCCTCATCCACACTTCTTCCTTGTGCACCACTCCTCTTACTAATACACTGATGCCAGGGAAGTCTCATTTCGTTGCTTTTGGAAAAAGTATGTTCTTTAACATATGACACAGAAGACAGAAGAGCACTGGGATACCTGAGATTCACCCAGAGTAACTCCATGTACACAGGGGAGCAAACATCATTTATATTGCAGTTTTTGTTATGAGCTTTTGAATAACTTGAGAGATTTTCCTCCTAGTTTGAGTTCTTGAGCCCTGTATTGAAAGTAGGGTTTGTTTCTCAGGTCTCAGACACATGTTGAGAAATAGTGAGAGAGGAATACTCAGGGATAGCATTTGACTACTGTCATTGAGATGGCATTCAGAGTGTGATGAAATATTCAGTTGGTTGAAAAAATATCAGAAGACTGAGTACTGATCCTTGTGTTTAGTATGTGTAGAGAGCCACATGTAGAATCTGGTTCTTTCTTATTGAAATAGCTCTGTTGTGTGCGTAGTTCATTAATAGGACAGATCCACTCTACTGCAAGTGTACTGTCATTTACTGTCTGTTGATTGCTAGAATGTCTTCATGAGTGTAAGTGCCTGTGCTGTATCAGTCTTGCTATCCTCTTGCTTATCCTTCATAGCACAGTCAGGGAGATCTTTTAACAGATGAAAAACTTACTTTTTCAGTTTTGGGGTTGAATTCTTTAGTGTGTTCCGATTTTACTCTACGTAAAGTATAAGTCCTTATCATGCAATGAGGATGCAAGAGCACTTATATCAAAGTGACAAGTGTGAAAACCTATTCTTCTTTTCATCACACACCCCTTTCTCTTCCTTTCCATCTGCACTGTTCCCCTAAGCACCAAGCAGAGTCACAGCACCCCTTCCCCTCTGTTTTTCCATACCTGCACTTATGCTCTGAATTGAGCTCAGGGCCAGCAGGGCCACTGCGAGCAGGGTCAGCAGCATCTTGGAGGAGTCTCTGGAGCGGCTCCCAAGTGTGTGCTGGGAGACTTGGGGCAGCTCCCTTTATACAGAGGAGCAGAACAAGGGCATCTTTGAGCTCCACACTGGGTGCACCTCCCCTCCCGACGTAATAGGCTAACTCTGCTCACATCCCGTCATCCATATCCTTTACTTCTCTTTTGGATCAGAGCCCAGCAGGATGGGGTTGGGTGGAGGATGTCAGTGTTTAAGGTTTAAAAGGTACAACTTGTGACCTGGGCAAAGTTTTTCAGACACAGGGTCCAAACACTCAGCATCCAGATTACAACTGAACTTTGGTCATCATTTGATGTTCAGTATGTTCTGTGAGACCGTGACACTGTCTTTCCTTTGTTTTGTGTATGTGTCTCTTGGTACATGTTGGCAGGAATTCTACAGGCAGAAGGAAAGTGATCAATACTTTTGGCTATTGTCATAATTCTGTCACTGAGGAAATGTGTGTCATATTTAGCTAATTTTAAGGTCATTTTTATTTTATTCTGCAATGTTGAGGACAAGGCTGTTGGGCACACATGGTGATAATTTGTTTTTAAGATGTTATTTATTTATTTTTGAGAGGTAGAGGTACAGACAGTGAGAGGGAGAGATAGAAAGGTCTTCCATCTGTTGGTTCACTCCCGAAATGGCTGCAATGGCCAGAGCTGTGCTGTTCCAAAGCCAGGAGCCAGGAGCCAGGAGCCACTTCTGTGTCTCCCATGTGGTTGCAGGGTCCTAAGCACTTGGGCCATCTTCTGGTGTCTTCGCAGGCATAGCAGAGAGCTGGATTGGAGAGGAGCAGCCAGGACTATAACCAGTATCCTTATGGGATGCTGGGGCTAAAGGTGGAGGATCAACCTACTGTGCCACAGCACTGGCCCCGGTGACAGGTTTTGATGATTCTCTGGTTCTGTCCCTGTGTATGGAACATGGGTATTGCAGAACTCAGGAGGCCTAGAACATTTTGTTGTTCTTAACATATATAAGGTTTATTAAAGCAAAAGGGGCACTGAAACACTGGGATGTCTTCAGTAGCCTGAAATGAAAGCAGGATTCCTCACTTGAACTGTGGTATTTAATGTTCCTTGTACATATTTGATGCTGCTCCTTTTTGTAGAATCCTGTTTAGTCATGGGTTGGGTCTTATGTCTTCTTGAGAATAGGTTTCTCTCTCACTGATAGTTTTCATGTCCTCCAGATGCTTAATTTTATTAGACTCCCCTATTTTCCTGTCCTCTTTTTCCTAAGGTTTCCTGAATCCGTACTGTTTTCTCTGTCATACACTAATGGTCATTACCCTTTTTTTTTTTTTTACAGATTTTATTTATTTATTTGAGAGGTAGAGTTACAGATGGAGAGAGAGAGAGAGAGAGAGAGAGAGAGAGAAAGATAGAAAGGCCTTCCTTCCATTGGTTCACTGCCCAGATGTCCACAACAGCTGGTGCTGTGCCATTCTGAAGCTAGGAGCCAGGTGCTTCTTCCCAATCTCCCATGAGGATTCAGGGTCCCAAGCTCTTGGGCCATCTTCTGCTGCTTTCCCAGGCCATAGTAGAGGGCTGGATTGGAAGAGGGGCAGCAGGGACTAAAACTGGCACCTGTATGGGATGCCGGTACCCCAGGTGGAGGATTAACCTACTGTGCCCTGGCGCCAGCCCCAATGGTCATTACTCTTTGTTTTTGTTTTTGACAGGCAGAGTGGACAGTGAGAGAGAGAGAGACAGAGAGAAAGGTTTTCCTTTGCCGTAGGTTCACCCTCCAATGGCTGCCTGGCCGGCGCGCTGCGGCCGGTGCACCGCGCTGTTCCGAAGGCAGGAGCCAGGTGCTTCTCCTGGTCTTTCATGTGGTGCAGGGCCCAAGTACTTGGGCCATCCTCCACTGCACTCCCTGGCCACAGCAGAGAGCTGGCCTGGAATAGGGGCAACCGGGACAGAATCCGGCGCCCCGAACGGGACTGGAACCCGGTGTGCCGGCACCACTAGCCAGAGGATTAGCCTATTGAGCCGTGGCGCCGGCTATCATTACTCTTAATGTTCCTGAAACTTATTGATTATTATATTCTGTTCAGAGCAATTCTCTCCATTTTTATTTTTCCTGGTTCCAGCTTTTGAGTTTTCACATTCTTTTGGTGTAATTCCCTCATTTAATCCTCTAAAGTAGAAACTATCTGCCTCTTCATAATCCTTTTGCCATTTTTTAAAAAGTGTTTTAAATTTTATTTATTTGAAAGACAGAGTTACAGTGAGAGGTAGAAACAGAGAGAGAGAGATCTTCCATCCGCTGGTTCACTCGCCAGATGGTCGCAATGGACGGAGCTGTGGCAATCCGAAGCCAGGAGCCAGAAGCTTCTTCCAGGTCTCCCACGCGGGTGCAGGGGCCCAAGGACTTGGGCCACTTTCTACTGTTATTCCAGGCCATAGTAGAGAGCTGGATTGGAAGAGGAGCAGCCAAGAGTAGAACTGGAGCCCATAGAGGATGCCAGCGCTTCAGGCCAGGGCATTAACCCACTGCAGCACAGCGCTGGCCCCTACCATTTTTGTTTTTTAAAACCATTGGCAATGGGGTGTTAGGTTTCTCAACAACTTTTTCCTTGTATTTGCACTGGTTGCTGCTCTCAGCTGCTAATTTTCTGTGATGTGTAGTTGTTGCCTGTTCACGCTGGTTATCACTGGTCTATAGGAGTCAGTATCACCAGCTGCCACTGAGCATTTTTGACTTTGTAAAGTTCTGTGTGCTTGTTAAGTTGTTTGTGCAAATAAGTGGATGTGTGAGGACTGTGTTTTTCTAAGTATGGCAGCATAGTCATGAGGCTGGAAATCCTAGAGATCAGTTCTTAGAGCAGTAGGGCTGCTGGGATCTTATGCTGTATATGGGACAGTGGGGTCTGCCTAATTATCTGAGCTAGTGTAGATAATATTACAGGATGGTCTTCTGATGCAATGTGGCTGACTGTGGACACCTTTAATCCTAGAATGTGATGAGATAGAAAAATGGCGTTTTCTCAGGCATGGTTGTTGATGTTCTGTGACATTGGCCATTTTCCCCTTAATTGGTGTGTGGAAATCAACACAATTTTGGGCCAAAGGACTTGATGGGCAGAAGAGGGCAATTTTATTGGCCTGCCAGTTCTGCTGCTTTGTTTCAATGACTGGCACTTTTTATTTTATTTATTTTTTTGCTGACTCTATTTGAGAAGGAAACTGGAGATGAGTTGACCTGACTAAGCAGAGTGAAGAGCCAGGTGGGAACCAGTGTTAATAGCAGACCTGGTCAAAGACAACCTTGACCTTAGCTTTGTGTGTTCTGAAAACAGAATGGCTGATTCCTCCAAATATCACTCAGCTGAGGTCCTTTCCCTATCCTTGTACAATTTCAAAATGCATGACGATTTGCATGAAATGAAAGAACACATAAGACCCAATGAAAACAGTGCTGTGAACAGCTGAAGGGAAGACTGTCAGGCAGAGTTGGGTGAGAGCCATGAACAAGACTTTCGCCAGCACATCAGGCATATTCAGGTGAAAGGAAGTCCTAAACCACCTGCTTAGATTTTCATATGCTTCTTATGTTTTTTTGTAATAAACTGAGATTCTGCTTTCCATTTCAAAATCCTCCTGTTTCCCAGAAAACTCTATATCTGCCCTAGACAAATAACCAGTCATTTGGGGAGTGAACCAGCAGATGGAAGACCTTTCTCTCTGTCTCTCCCTCTCTCTGTCTGTAACACTACCTCTCACAAAACAAACAAACAAACAAACAAACAAAAAAAAACTAAAATCTTTAAAAAGAGTCTGATGTGATAGACATGTCAACTACCCTGGTCCAGTCATTGGTCATTATATATATGAATTAATGTCACACTGTATGCCACACAAATGTACAATTTCTATGTGTCAAATAAAAATCAATTAAAATTCCAGTAACTGCTGAAAAAGAATGATGAATGGCATGTGGATTCCTTATGTGATGTTAATGTCCTTCTCAAACACTGGTTTCTCTAAAATTTTTTTATCTCTGGGACATTTCATTTCATTTTTCAAGCTGGCTAAAGCAGGGAGGAAGCAGAGAAGTCACCCTCAAAAATATATCTGTGATGGAGAAGTTATTTTTCAAGGTGATTGATAAACAGAAACATATCTCTTTAAGATGACATCACTGTGGGGCCAGCTTGGTGTTATAGCCAGTTAAGCCGATACTTGTCATGATCCTATTCCATATTGGAGTTCCATATTCAATCCCACCTGTTCCTTTTTAAATGGAGATCCAGCCAACGTGTCTGGGAAGGCAGAAAATAGCTTAAGCACCTGGGTTCTGCGACCCTCATTGGAGACTCACATGGATTTCTAGGTTTCTGTGTTTAATCTGGCCCATCCCTGGTTGTTTGGACCATTTGTGGAGTGAACCAATGGATAGAATCTCTCTCTCTCTCTCTCTCTCTCTCTCTCTTTTTTTTAAAGATAAAGATTAATTTATGGAGCTGGTGCTGTAGCTTAGCAGGTAAGGCCTACAACTGCAGTGCCGGCATCCCATATGGGCGCCTGTTCAAGACCCAGCTGTTCCACTTCCGATCCAGCTCTTTGCTATGGCCCAGGTCCTTGGACCTCTGCACCCACATGGGAAGACTCAGAAGAAGCTCCTGGCTTTGGATCGGCGCAGCTCTGGCCGCTGTGGCCAGTTGGGGAGTGAACCAGCGGATGGAAGACTTCTCTCTGCCTCTCCTTCTCTCTCTGTGTAACTGACTTTCAAATAAATAAATAAATCTTAAAAAAAAAAAACATTTATTTGAATGGAAGGGTGGCAGAGAGAGAGGAAGTGACAGAGAGGTCTTTGATTCACAGTTAACTCTTCAAATGGCAGTAATGGCCTTCGTGGGCCAGGATGAAACAAGGACCCAGGAGTTTCTTCTGTGTAGGTCTCCTATGTAGGTAGCAGGGGACCATGTACTTAGGCCATCTTCTGCTGCTTTCCCAGGCACATTAGCAGGGAGCTGTATCTGAAGAGTAGCAGCCAGGACTCAGTTCACTCCCATATGGGATCCTGGCATGGCAGGTGGTGGCTTAACCTGCTGCATCACAATGGTGATGGAGTTCTCTATTTTTCTGTCTATTTGCCACCCCCCCCCAAAGCCTCCCTCCCTGTCTCTCTGCCTTTCAATAAATAAATGTTTAAAATAATTTTGTATAGTTCTCCTGGAATACTAGTCTGAAAACATGGTTTTTCCTTATCTTTTAAATAATTGGACCAGAAAACAGATTATGTTTACCAATACAATGCCTCAACTTGTCTTTGAATGGTCCTTTTTGACTTCAGAAATATGCCTTCTGAATACTAAATGAGCCAAGTTTCTTTGAACTCTGTTATCTTTATATAAAAAATGTATTTGAACAGCAGTGATAGAACACACACACACACACACACACACACTCTTACACAGACAGGGAAACAAAGAGATCTTCTATGCTTTAGTTCACTCCCCCAAACTCATAACAGCCTGAACTGGGTCTGGCCTAATCCAGTAGCCAAATACCCAATCTGGGTCTCCTAGATAGATGGCAATGATCCAAGTATTTGAGTTATCACCTTCTGCCTCCCATTGCACGCATTAGCAGGAATCTGGAATCAGAAGTGGAGCTGGGACTGAACTGTCACATTGATACGGGGTGCAGGTGTCCACAGTCGTGTGTTAAGAACTACGTCACACACACATTCCCAATCATGTAATAATCCTTATTTGCCTTTGGAATTTTTTTCCCATTGTAGTATTAGTGTCACTTGAGATGCTTTTTTTTTTTTTAAAGATTTATTATTTTACTTATTTGAAAGAGTAACAGAGATTAGAGCCAGAGAGAGAGGCAGAAGTCTTCCATCCGCTGGTTCACTCCCCAACTGGCCACGATGGCCGGAGCTGCACCCATCCGAAGCCAGGAGCCAGGAGCTTCTTCCTGGTCTCCTAGTGGGTGCAGGGACCCAAGGACTTGGGCTCTCTTCTACTGTTTTCCCAGGCCATAGCAGAGAGCTAAATCGGAAGTAGAGCATCTGAGACTTAAACCAGCACCCAAGTGGGATGCCAGCACTGCAGGTAGCGGCCTTACCTGCTATGCCACAGCAGTGGCTCCACAAATAAATCTTTTTTTTTTTTTTTAAAGAAAAAGAGAGGGGCTGGCGCCATGGCTCACTTGGTAAATCCTCTGCCTGCAGCTCCGGTATCCCATATGGGCAGGGGATTCTGTTCCGGTTGCTCCTCTTCCAGTCCAGCTCTCTGCTGTGACCCCGGAGTGCGGTGGAGGATGGCCCAAGTGCTTGGGCCCTGCATCCGCATGGGAGACCAGGAGGAGGCACCTGGCTCCTGGCGTCCAATAGGCGCAGCGCTGGCCATGGCAGCCATTTTGGGGGTGAAACAACGGAATGAAGACCTTTCTCTATGTCTCTCTCTCTCTCTCTCTCTCTCTCTGTCAAAAAAGAAAAAAAAAAAAACTGAGAGAGTCTATCCACCGGTTCAGATGAAAATGTTCCCCTTAAACTAGTGCCTGAAAGTCTGTAAATTCCATAGGGCCTGAAGTACATTCTGCTGCCTCCTTCAAGAAACCCACTCAGGTTTTCAAGATTTGTGAGGACACCGAGGAAAGCGAGCCAGGGTAAATGAGGGAAAGAAGTAAGTGTATGGCCTGTTCCAGTTAGGTACACACAGAAATTTTCATTTTCTTACCTTCCAGTGTCAGGTTCTAGCGTGGGCGCCCGCGGCTCTCGGGAGAACTTGACGGGAGCCCCCAGCTCAAGTCCGAAGTCGCCGGCGTTTGCGTCATCCTGCGCGCTGCTCCTGCTGCCCCTCAAGCCCCTCAGAGAAACCGCCGGGGCCGCCACAGAAGCCAGGAGAGGACTTAGGACGGCCCGTGCCACAGAAGAAAGATAACGCAGGTGAAACCTGGCGCAGAGGTGACAGCGAGAATGAATGTGAACCGAGAGAGCTGGTATTCAGAGGCCGGACGAGAATATGCTCAAGTAATCAAAATGTTGGGAAATGGACGCCTGGAAGCTTCCTGTTGGATGATGTGGAGAGGTTGTGTCACATCAGAGGGGAACTGAGAATAAAGGTTTGGATAAATACCTCGGACGTTATATTGGGTGGTCCCGAGACTATCAGGCTAACAACGCTGCCGTCATGTACAAATACAGCGCACGTGAAGCTGGAAGTCTGAAGGCCTGTGGTGAGCTTCCCCAGCAAGCGGAAGTCAATGAAACGGATCCGTTTGGTCCTGGAGGACGTGGTGAAATCCAGCTGGATGACATTGGACTTGATGATGAAGACGCTGATGCTCTCTAAGTGGAACTGAACATCTGACATTACAGTTTTTCTGAAGATTGTCCTGCAGTTTGGATTTTGGCCACGACCCTTAAAGAAGATCCAAGTTTCGTTTGCACAGGGGCGGCCTCGTGGCCTACCTGGTAAGTCCTCTGCCTCGGACACAGGCATCCCATGTGGACGTGGATTCGAGTCCTGGCCGCTCCGCTTCGGGTTCAGCTTCCTGCCAATGTGCCTGGGAAAAGAAGTGGAAGATGGTTCGAGTGTTTGGGACCCGCTTCGCACTTGGGAGACCTGGTATCATACACATTCTTTTCATGATCTTAATTTACCATAAATATATCTATTAAAAGTATTTCTAAAATGTTTTTAGAAACTATTTTAATAAATTTGCATTTGTAAATTAGTAGTTCAGAAAATGAACACTAGGTGGCAGACAGTTATTATTGAAAATATCGATGTAAAAACCTAAACAGACCCATAACTGAGACAGAAATTGAAACAGTAATAAAGGCCCTCCCAACAAAGAAAAGCCCAGGACCAGATGGATTCACTGCTGAATTCTACCAGACGTTTAAAGAAGAACTAACTCCAATTCTTCTCAAACTATTCAGAACAATCGAAGAAGAGGGAGTCCTCCCAAATTCTTTCTATGAAGCCAGCATCACCTTAATTCCTAAGCCAGAGAAAGATGCAGCACTGAAAGAGAATTACAGACCAATATCCCTGATGAACATAGATGCAAAAATCCTCAATAAAATTCTCGCCAATAGAATGCAACAACACATCAGAAAGATCATCCACCCAGACCAAGTGGGATTTATCCCTGGTATGCAGGGATGGTTTAATGTGCGCAAGACAATCAATGTGATACACTGTGGGGAGCAAACCGGACTAGACTGTTACTGGAATTAAGACTTATTCTATGCATCTGCTCTCCCACAATATGGCGCTGGGAGAGAAGTAAACAGCTTCCGCACAGCTGCCTCCAGTTCAACTGATAAACTGTAGGACTTGCTCCTGATTGGAGGAGAGTGGCGTACTCGGCGTGTGGGCAGCCGAGTTAGGATTGGCAGAGGAGGACTATAAAGGAGGAGAGAGACGGCATGCACCGGGAACATCTATGGGGAACATCTAAGGGAACCCGTGCAGCCCCCGAGAAGAGCCGGCCGGCGGTGTGCCGCTCCCCTGCGGAAGTGGGGAATGCGGCCAGGGGGAACTGCCCTTCCATGGAGGTGGAAGGGATAGTAGCCAACCCGGGAGGAACCAGCAGCAAACCCGGGGAGGGCCGAGCAGACTGAAAGAGCAGCGCAGGGTCCTGTGTCGTTCCTCCACGAAGAGGGGGAGCGACATAATGGTGCCGTGACTCGGATATGAAGCCTAGGCAGGATTTAGTGTCGTTCCTCCACGAAGAGGGGGAGCGACATAATGGTGCCGTGACTCGGATAGGAAACCTAGGACGGATATGAAACTTAGGAGGGAAGAAACGGGAAGAAGCAGGAAAATACCAGAGAGAGAGACTAGCAAACAGCCTAGGGAAAAGCCGGACGAAAAGGGTGCCGGAAGAAGCTATTGAAAGCCTAGGCATAGACTCAGATACGGACTACGGGGGGAAGCTGGGAGAAATCTCTAAGGGCGAAAGCGAAAGTGAAAGCTAGAACAAACAGACTCCGACGCGGACTGTGGGGAGAGGCCAGGAGAAATGAGGGAGGAGTATTGTTGGAGGAAAGTTTGGGGAAACATACCGGGTAGAGAAAAATGTTAGGGAAATTGAAGCCGCGGGGGGGCAGGCCAAGGCGGACACGAAAGCCACTTTGGGGTTCTCAAGTTAGCCCGGGAATAGGGGGCGAAAAGTTGAAACCAGAAGCTGAAACGTGAGCCAGGTTGGGATCCGTCTGATTAGCCCGGGGAGCAAAGGACGGGAAGCCAAACCGTGGGGCGGAGACGTACGCTGGGTTGAATTCGCCAGGCTAGCCCGGGGAACTTAGATTGAATGCTAATGGCGGACACGTAAGCTACGCTGTGTTACTCGCGGAAGCCGCCGCGTGCAGAGAGAGCACGGGGCGTGAATAGATAGGGAACGGGACTGGCGTAGGCCGTGGTTCAGACGCGAAAGGGTTAAGCGTGGAGACCGCGGAGCGCGCGAAGCCGAGCCGCACAAAGCCGGGAAGCTGCGCAGATGAGAGAGGCGCGCGGGCTGAAGCGGCGCAGAGCTGGGAACCCGCCGGCGGGGCGAGGTGCCGGGAAGCCGCGGGGATAAGAGAAATAGAAATTTAGAAGCAAAGTGAGAGAAATAGGAATGCTGGAAGATAGAAGTAAAATGGGAGAAATAGGAATGCCCGGAGATAGAGAAATAGAAAGGCCTCCCCTCAACATGGCAATTAGAAGGCTTGGATTCGGTCTGCCCGATTAGTGAGGCGATGAGCACCTGGGCGGCTAGCAGCTTATGCACCGCAGGTCACCGAAGACAGGCACGAATTAACATCAGTAAGGCTTCCCCACAATACCGCAATTAGAAGGCTTGGATTCGGTCTGCCTGATTAAGGCGGTAAGCGCCAGCAAGCAGCTCGACCAGAGTATGAGCTGCAGGTCACCGAAGATAGGCACGAACCAACACTAATAAGTCTCCCCCACAATAAGGCAATGAGGAGGCTTGGATTCGGTTTGCCTGATAGGTCTTGTAAGTCCCCTGCAGGCAGAGCAGAGCATGCGCTGCAGGGCACCGAACACAGGCACGCATCAGCGCCTAAAAACCTCCTCACAACATGGCGAAGAGAGGACCCGGATTCGGTTTTCCTGATTGATAGGACTTGTAAGAGCCTGTGGCAACTCTAGCAAGTAGAGCAGAGTGTGTGCCGCGGGACACCGAAGACAGGCGCGTATCAACACCAAAAATAAAAAGAAAGGGGGATCTGTGGGGAGCAAACCGGACTAGACTGTTACTGGAATTAAGACTTATTCTATGCATCTGCTCTCCCACAATATGGCGCTGGGAGAGAAGTAAACAGCTTCCGCACAGCTGCCTCCAGTTCAACTGATAAACTGTAGGACTTGCTCCTGATTGGAGGAGAGTGGCGTACTCGGTGTGTGGGCAGCCGAGTTAGGATTGGCGGAGGAGGACTATAAAGGAGGAGAGAGACGGCATGCACCGGGAACATCTATGGGGAACATCTAAGGGAACCCGTGCAGCCCCCGAGAAGAGCCGGCCGGCGGTGTGCCGCTCCCCTGCGGAAGTGGGGAATGCGGCCAGGGGGAACTGCCCTTCCACGGAGGTGGAAGGGATAGTAGCCAACCCGGGAGGAACCAGCAGCAAACCCGGGGAGGGCCGAGCAGACTGAAAGAGCAGCGCAGGGTCCTGTGTCGTTCCTCCACGAAGAGGGGGAGCGACAATACACCACATTAACAGACTGCAGAAGAAAAACCATATGATTATCTCAATAGATGCCGAGAAAGCATTTGATAAAATACAACACCCGTTCATGATGAAAACTCTGAGCAAACTGGGTTTGGAAGGAACATTCCTCAATACAATCAAAGCAATCTATGAAAAACCCACAGCCAACATCCTATTGAATGGGGAAAAGTTGGAAGCATTTCCACTGAGATCTGGAACCAGACAGGGATGCCCACTCTCACCACTGCTATTCAATATAGTTCTGGAGGTTCTAGCCAGAGCTATTAGGCAAGAAAAAGAAATTAAAGGGATACAAATTGGGAAGGAAGAACTCAAACTATCCCTCTTTGCAGATGACATGATTCTTTATTTAGGGGACCCAAAGAACTCTACTAAGAGACTATTGGAACTCATAGAAGAGTTTGGCAAAGTAGCAGGGTATAAAATCAATGCACAAAAATCAACAGCCTTTGTATACACAGACAATGCCATGGCTGAGGAAGAACTTCTAAGATCAATCCCATTCACAATAGCTACAAAAACAATCAAATACCTTGGAATAAACTTAACCAAAGACGTTAAAGATCTCTACGATGAAAATTACAAAACCTTAAAGAAAGAAATAGAAGAGGATACCAAGAAATGGAAAAATCTTCCATGCTCATGGATTGGAAGAATCAATATCATCAAAATGTCCATTCTCCCAAAAAGCAATTTACAGATTCAATGCAATACCAATCAAGATACCGAAGACCTTCTTCTCAGATCTGGAAAAAATGGTGCTGAAATTTATATGGAGGCACAAGAGACCTCGAATAGCTAAAGCAATCTTGTACAACAAAAACAAAGCCGGAGGCATCACAATACCAGATTTCAGGACATACTACAGGGCAGTTGTAATCAAAACAGCATGGTACTGGTACAGAAACAGATGGATAGACCAATGGAACAGAATTGAAACACCAGAAATCAACCCAAACATCTACAGCCAACTTATATTTGATCAAGGATCTAAAACTAATTCCTGGAGCAAGGACAGTCTATTCAATAAATGGTGCTGGGAAAATTGGATTTCCACGTGCAGAATCATGAAGCAAGACCCCTACCTTACACCTTACACAAAAATCCACTCAACATGGATTAAAGACCTAAATCTACGACCTGACACCA